AGGCAGCGCAGACCCAATATAAAATAGGCCCCTCTGAGCGTGGCTACCATCGTGTTCACACCAGCATGACTCAGTAGGAGGTGTTGTTCTCTGACCAAAAGCTCGGACAAGTGGCCTCTGGGTAACAACACTGGGTACTTCTCCTCGTACTGTAGGTCAGACATTTGTAGCCTACTGCCCATTCTCAGCAGACCATCGTCACCCACGAAGGGGCCCAATCGGAAAATGCTGGAGCCCTTTGAGACTTTCTTACCCTTCTCCAGAGCGGTCCACTCCTCGTGAAACTCGCTCCGCTGCTCCTGACGCAGCAGCTCGCGCTTGGCCTCAGCCAACTCGATGGAGGACAACTCATGACGCCTGGACCTCTGCTGAGGGCAGCGACAGTTTTCAATGAAGCGACGCACCCATGCTACGACTCGCACCGCCTTTGAAAACTTTCCCCAGCGCTCTACCGGAAAGACGCGCTCAGGTTGAGTCACAAACAAACTAACATTGCTGATTTCCTCAGACTCTTTCAACATTTCTCCCCTGACAAAATCAGATGAAACGAGATCTCTGTCCGGCGAAGATTCACCCGAGGGCAGCAGCGCCTCGCCGACACAGCGCGCGCCTCCCGCGCCGCCGGCGCTGTCACACGCCGCTGTCTCCCGAGGAGACTCGGCCGGACCCGGAGCCGATACCAGAACGGCCTCGTCGACCGGAGTCTCGCTCACCTTCGACTCGATCTGTCGTGGGGGGCGACCCGCGGTCTCCGACAGCCAGGCAGGCCCCACCAGCCACACATCAGACGCTAGCAGCTGCTCCGCCGATACGCCTCGAGTCGTCAGGTCTGACGGATTGTCCTCCCCTGGCACGAACTCCCAGTCAGCAGGGCTGGTCAAACTGTGAATCTCGATCACTCGGTTACGCACGAACTGCTTCCATCTTTGGGGATCACCTCGTATCCACCCAAGGGCGACCATGGAATCAGTCCAGCACTTACAAACTGTGCTGTCTGGCAGACACAGAGCGCGGCGGACATGAGTCACCAGTCGAGCGGCGAGAAGGCTGCCTAACAGCTCTAATCTCGGCAGACTCACTGTCTTCACCGGCGCCACTCTGCCCTTTGCCATCACCAGTGTGACACTGTGCGAGCCATCTGACAGCGGGGAACGGAGGTACACTGTAGCCCCGTACCCACTCGGGGAGGCGTCGCCGAAAGCATGTAGCTCCGCTCCCGCCTCTGCGCCACTCCAGCCCTCGACTGAGTAGGAGCGAGGGACTTTGAACTGCTTTAGCGTCTCCAGACCATCTAACCATCTGGTGAAAACTGAGTGACTTTCAGCGGGCAACAGCTCATCCCACTGCAGCCCCTGCTGCCACAATGTTTGGAATAGGCACTTAGCCACCATGGTGAATGGAGTTAGAAACCCCAGAGGGTCGAAAAGTCTGGCCATAAAGCTCAATACTAAACGTTTGGTCGGCACGACATCGTCAGGAATCGAAACACCTTCGAACATGAACACGTCCTCCTTCGGAATCCAACTTAGCCCCAGCACTTTGATGCTCTGGCCTTCCCCACCAGACACAGCATTGTCGAACAGCAGAGTGCTGTTTGACCTGCATTTGGCCAGACACATGCCAGCATCAGCCACGACAGACTGAGCCTCCGAAAGGAGACTACGGGCTTCCTCCTCAGAGTCCGCCCCTGACAGAAAGTCATCGACATAGAAGTTAGACTGCATCTCGGTCACCGCACGTGACGCGTCATACCTGGCGAGGTGATGACGGAGGGTCGCGTTCAGAAGAAAGGGACTGCTGCACGTCCCGAAGCTGACCCTGGTCACTCTCATCACCCGTTCTCTGCCGCCGCAGAGCCAGATGAAGCGATGCACGTCTCGATCTTCTCTCCGAAGTCCAATCTGGAGAAAGGCTTTGACGATATCCGCTGTCACGGCATAACGCCAGCGCCGAAACCTTAGTAGGACATCGACCAGGTTAGGCATCAAACAGGGACCCACCTCCAAGCAGTCATTTAGACTGACACCGTTCGGACCACACACGGAAGCGTCAAACACGGGGCGGACCTTCGTGGTTTCACTGCTCTCCTTCACCACCGGATGGTGAGGGAGATAGAATGTGGGGTGAGAGACCACAATCTCCTCACTCGGGACCTCCTCGATCATCCCCGACTCCTCCAATTCACTCAGCACAGCATCATATTTAGAGCGAAGGTCGGGATCTCTATCAAGTTTTCGAGTCAAACTCCTGAGGCGGCACCTCGCGACCGGAAGGTTACTCTGAAGCTCAGGGGCATGGTCACCCTGCTTCCAAGGCAGTGCGACCTCATACCTGCCATCGCTGAAGCTGACTGAGGACTCGAAATCCTCCAACACCTTCGAACTGGCCGGCTCCTCATCAGAACGGATGCCGACGCCTTCCAGACTCCATAGGTTACGGACGGCGTCCTCGTGCAGATCACCAAGAGTCAGCAACTGGCACGATGTACTGCCTGCAGCACAGAGTCCAGAGGAGGTCACGCCAGACACGATCCAACCCAGTGAGGTCTCCTGGGCTACTAGTGACCCTTCTGAACATCGAATGAAGCCCTGCTGTACAAGACTCCAGTACACGTCAAGACCGACCAATATATCCACAGACATCTCGCGGTTCTCACTATAGCTGTCAGCCAACTCAACCCCTACGAAAGAGGCGAGGGCTGTCCGAGGGACTCTGGGTCGCTGCAGGGGGGAACAGATCACTGGTACTTCCACAGCAGTCAACAAACACTCCACAGGTTTGGACAAGTTGGCTCCACTCACACGGAGCCCCCTCACAGCCCTCTCACAAGTGGATTTTCCCCCACCAAAGGCTGCATACGAGACAGACTCAGAGCCGAGCCATGTAGCGCCCACTTTTTTCACCAACTCTTCCGACACATAAGTTCTGTCTGACCCTGTGTCGAACAACAAAGTCGCTAGGACTGAGCCATGCGCTCCATGTACCAACACTCGAGCAGTGGGGAGCACAACACATTGATCCTCACCACTGTTACACGACAGAGACACACGAGTCTCTGAAACCTTAGGACTAGTAGAGCTTGACACACCAGGGGGCTCTGCTACCCTCCCCTGACTAGTCTTCCCCTTCGAAAAACAACATAGCTTGTGGTGGCCACCGCCACACAGCTCACACTTTGACTGGCACTCCCTCGCCCGGTGTGAATCGGACAAGCAGCGAAAACATGCCCCAGACTGCTTAATCAAGTCATGTCTCTGCGAAACTGAGAGCTTGAGGAGCTCATGACACTCCACTGACCTGTGTGCCTTTCCACAAAATATACATACCCCTGATGATGCAGTCAGAGCGGCTCCAGATGGAGTCCGCGCCTGTCTCACACAGTCCCTGAGAGGCTGGTTCCTCCCAGCCGGTCGAACATCCTTGTGAGGCTGGCTCCTGCCAGCTGCTCGGACGTCCCGGGCCGGCTGAGTTGTCCCCAGCAGCTTGGTGAATGCTCCGGACCTTTCCCTCCTCTCAACTTCTGCTGCCAGGAAGTCCATCAGTGCATTGAGGTCCGCTTCTTTGCCTGGGCCAAGACGGGCCCACTCCATCCTCAGGTCAGGGTTCAGTTTACTGAGGATCATAGGAACCAAGAAAATGCCGTACTTATCACCAGTGACCTCAAGGGCTGACAGGCTACGCACATGGATCAGGACATTGTCAATGAGGGAGCGAAGGGACTGGGATGTTGAAGACAGAGGACCAGTGATAGCTAGGAGCTGCTGAACATGATTGAAGATTATCACTTCAGGCTTCCCAAATCTCTTTGACAATAAATCGCATGCTACTTGATAGTTCGCTGATGTGAGCGACAGACCAGCAACACATCTTGCTGCCTCACCTTGCAAGCATGACTGTAGGTACTCAAACTTGACCACGTCTGGCAACTCTCGTTCACCAACAGCTGCACCGAATCTCTCCCAGAAGGGAATCCATTTAAGTACCTCCCCATCAAAGCTAGGGAGATCTAGTCTCGGGAGCTGAGGGCTCAAAGCTGACACAGATGCTGAGCTTACAGCTTCAGGCACGTTACCTTGTCTGCCAACAGAGACAGCAGCTGCAGCAGCTACCATCTTGTCAGCTCTTTCAATGGCTTCTGTCACTTCATCTCTGAACAATCCAGCCTTGATTATATCTTCCAGCATGTCATCTTCAGATTCGAACAGAACTTCCAACTCCAACTGGATGCTGTCCAGTTCCTCCAATCTGCTCTTAAGTTCACTGCGAACAGTCTGTATCCTTGTAACATCAACATCCTGTTCACAGTCATCCAGAACCTTAGAGAGCTTGTTCTTTGTTCGGCTTACCCAGGCCTTGGCAGCTACTCGTCTCTTCTTCGCTTTCTCAAGATCTGCCATATCTCAAGACAAATGAAAACAAATTGAAATGCACACTCGAATAGCACACTGAGTAAATCAATCCCGGTCTTGTTCCCGGGTTTCGGCACCAATGTAACGAAACGACCGGCTCAGCTTGCTTCACCACGTGTGCTTATATTTTCTGCGACCATCACCGGCGCACAACCACCGCCACTTCAACTTCACACATAATTTCGACTTCCAGAGTGTATTGGGTTTGACGTCCAATACAGATAACGACGAACGGTAGGTGCGTTATTGCTCAGCTCGTCCCGAGGGACCGACGAAAACCAACGACGAAAAAATGCTCGACACCAAGGCCTCGACCCACTCAATATACTCTGGCCTCGACACTGTCGTGACCTTGGTCGTGACCGGCGACCGCACCGCCCCACGACACGAACTCGAATGAATGCTAATTCAATGCCTGCCACTAGATGTCGTCTACATTATTTACAACAAGCACTATTTATCACTATGTGTATGACTACGATCCTTCTGTTACAGTCTGCCTAGAAGCCCGTGTCGTCTAGCGTCTGGTTCTCATACACTAATACAGCACTATATATCACTATTTGTATGACTACGATCCTTCTGTTCCAGTGTGGCTGGAAGCCCGTGTCGTCCAGCGATTGGTTCTCGTCATATCTAACGTGGATACCAAGGAGGTACTGGAGCGCTGGGAGTTTATCGTGGCCAACGAGGGAGCATCGGCGGCGGACGGGTGAGGAGAGAGAGACAGACAGAGAGACAGAGAGACAGATAGACAGAGAGAGAGAGAGAGAGAGAGAGAGAGAGACAGAGAGAGAGACAGAGAGAGAGACAGAGAGAGAGACAGAGAGAGAGAGACAGAGAGAGAGAGAGAGAGACAGACAGACAGAGAGAGACAGAGACAGAGAGAGACAGAGACAGAGAGAGAGAGAGAGAGAGAGAGAGAGAGAGAGAGAGAGAGAGAGAGAGAGTGAGACAGAGAGAGAGAGAGACAGAGAGACACAGAGAGAGAGAGAGAGAGACACAGAGGGACAGAGAGAGAGAGAGAGAGAGAGAGAGAGAGAGAGAGAGAGAGAGAGAGAGTGAGACAGAGAGAGAGAGAGACAGAGAGACACAGAGAGAGAGAGAGAGAGACACAGAGGGACAGAGAGAGAGAGAGAGAGAGAGAGAGAGAGAGAGAGAGAGAGAGAGAGAGAGAGAGAGAGAGAGAGAGAGAGAGAGAGAGAGAGAGAGAGAGAGAGAGAGAGAGAGAGAGAGAGAGAGAGAGAGAGAGAGCAGAGAGAGAGCAGAGAGAGAGACAGAGACAGAGACAGAGACAGAGACAGAGACAGACACAGAGACAGACACAGAGACAGACACAGAGACAGACACAGAGACAGAGAGAGAGAGAGAGACACAGAGACAGAGAGACAGAGAGAGACAGAGAGGGAGAGAGACAGAGAGAGACAGAGAGAGACAGAGAGACAGAGAGAGAGACCGAGAGACAGAGACAGGGAGCGTTCGTAGTTGCGGAAAGTTAGAAGGAAGACTACTTTTAAGAGACACTGACTTGGCATAATCCTTCTTGTTCTCTCATTGGTGTGAAGTTTTTGACCTTTGAGCTTATTTCCAGTGTTTGCATTCTCTTCCACCTATTGCGGGCTTGGCTCCATATCACACACCGTACATTCTCTGAAAATTTATGATAATTTGTATGCTATTTCTTTCTGCTTGTCATGGGCGCAAAATGACCCCAGTAGTCGGCGCGCCCTAAAGCTCCAATAAACAACAACTTCTTTCTGCTTGTCACTTTTGTATCCATACCCCACACACCCTCACTTTTGCAACAACGCTCCTTTCAGAAATATGCGCCATTCGGAAGTGCCCACCAAAGCGCAACAGAGTGTAATCTCGTTATGTTAGAGTGTACTAATAACGCTCATTTTCCACTACCAAACGCCGCTAATGTCGCCTTTATCGCCTGCTCTCAGCTCTGAAGTGACGGGAAATAAAGACCCGAAGGCGATTCGTAAAGAAGTACAGAACGTCATTCGCCAGATCACTGCGTCAGTGACTTTTCTGCCTCTGCTCGACTGTCCGTGTAAGTATCCCGTCAGTATGACCAGTGGAAATATTCTGTCAGTATGGCCAGTGTAAGTATTCTGTCAGTATGACCAGTGTAAGTATTCTGTCAGTATGGCCAGTGTAAGTATTTGTCAGTATGACCAGTGGAAGTAGGTATTCTGTCGGTATGACCAGTAGAAGTATTCTGTCATTATGGCCAGTCGAGTTAATCTGTCATATGGCCAGTGGAGGTATTCTGTAAGTATGGTCAGTGTAAGTATTCTGTCGGTATGGCCAGTGTAAGTATTCTGTCAAATAGTTCACTTTTAACATGTGGTTTTGAACTGGAATAGCAGTTGCGTAGCTTGAGCTGAGACGAGCACAAATCAGGAGCTTTTACGGCCCAACGATCACCCTAGTCAAAGATATTTCATTTCTCGTCCCGAAAAAGGTGCCTTGGAATGTGCCTTGCAGGGGTCATTTCCGTCTTTTAAACTGTTTAGTTCTTCCTATATTAAAATATAGAAAATACTATATTTAAAGGTTTTATTTTCTTTGCTGATCATTTTGAGCATAAAACATAAATCCATTGACAAAAAAACTATAAATTTCGTGAAAGTGAACTATAATTTCCCTTTAATTGCTGAAAGTTTCAAAGCGATCGTCCAGTCGGTTTAGCTATGGTAAGCTAGTATTTTTTGGACGTAAGGTCATTTGCTGTAACCTGGTGACTTGACCTCTGATGACCCAGGTTTGACTTTTTAATGTGCAGAAAAGATTTATCGCCGATATTTTTAGCTATTCGCGAAGAAACATCGAGGGTGTGAAAATGTCTATCCCCAACATGGTGCGGGTCATAGTAATTACACAGGGTTGAAATCCAACTCAAAGTCGTCAGTGTTTCATTGTGCTCCGTTTTTCAATCGACTTTACCGTCATTGTATCCCAAACTCCTCACATAACGACATACATCCCACACATTACCCCCCAGTGACGTCATATTCCCCCTTTACCGACAGGCTCGTTCAACCTGCTGATCCACACTTCCCGGGACGCCGAGGTACCGGACAAATGGGACGATAGTCCGCCGGGCTTCATTGCTAATTCGGAGCAGGTGAAGCTGCGATCGTTCAGTACCAGCGTTCATCGGGTGGACACGGTGGTGTCCTACAAGTGTGACGGCTGAACAGACTGCCGTCTGGAGGGAGGTGCCATGGACTTCAGTGCGCGAGGGGCGAGTATGTACCGGGTGTCCCAAAAGTAAGGTCATGATTTAAAACTTAAATATCTCGAGAAGTAAGAGTCCGAATCACTTCCAATTTTAACACGTGCAAGGTACATCCATAAAATTATTTTCTTGCATGCTTAAACCATTTTTGATCATAACTACACCGAGCAGTAGGCATAAAACTGAGAAGGTCGAAATTCAACTCTTAGAGAGGGTCCGTCATTAAAACAAAGGGTAAATACCGCCCAGTTTTCGGCCCTAAGCAGACCCTATCAGCTCGCCCTATCTCTGAACTCATGCATAGTTTCGCCTCAACCGGTAAAACGTCAGAAAAAGGTATAATGTACGCACAGGGCATGTATACTTAGCCACCTGTGCTTCGAGGTCCTGAGGACGACAGCGGGAATCGGGTGACAATAAATCAAGAGAGGTGGCCGAGAGTCCTCCCACTGGTTCTTCCGCTCGTCGCAACGCAGCTGTGCCGACACCATCAGCCAGCAGTGGTTTCAGCAGGATGAAGACTATGCTTGCACCGTCCTGAAGATCACGCATTGTCTCCGAGAGTGGATGTGAGATCCCGTAATTTTCAGTCAGGGCAACGCCATTGAATGGCCTCCGCGGTCACCTGACGTTACACCTTCATATTTTTATTCTCTGGATACACAACAGAAAGATTGTCTTTTAGGACAACCCAACGAGCCGGGAAGAACTAAAGGATGATCCCTTCGAGCAAACATAGGCGGCATCTCACCAGAGAATCGCTCCAGAATAGTGGAGGAAGTCAAACGTAGTCTATTCATGCACGCGGCCCGATATGGTAGCCATGTAGAAAAGCAGCAAATGTGGGCCTACGAGCCAATGTATTGACTCATATGTATGTCAGAATAAAATTTTATAAAATGCTCTTTCATATGATGTCCTATTTATATCTATCCATCGCGTATTTTTGGCAGTGTGGCCAAAACAAATGATGACCTTACTTTTGGGACACCCGGTATATTGTGAAGAAAGGGGATGTGGAAGTTTTGGTGAGAGATGAGAGACTTTGGGAAGATTGTGACAGAATTAGTGGAGAGTGATTGGTTTTGAATGTGAAGAACGTGTAGATGAAAGATTGTAAGATCTGAGTCTTCCTAACGAAAAGAAACTTGGCGAAAGATTGATGCGAAAAGATGGTGTACGTGAACACTGTATGAAATGATTTGACGTCCAATATAATGTGCTCTTAAGGCCGCCGTCCACTGTGCGGAACGCGTGCGGTCCGTACGGAATTTAACACAGAACCCTATGGGCGCATCCGGTCCGTACGGAAATCGTGTGCGCTCCGTCCGGACCGCATCCGAACGGCAATCAGCTGTTGATTTTCCGTCAGCTCTCCGCATGCGTTTCGGATGCGGTTGCTACGGAGACGGAAGAGTGATGTCCGACGCGTTGAACTTTTCTGCGGAAAACGCATCCGGAACGTCCGGAACAGACGTGGTTTGGGGCCGTATCGGAGGCAAACATTGTGAATTGTACGAAGAATTGGAACTCGATCGTCATGAAGTAAGTAAAAATTATTTCCTTAGAATGGCAAGAGTATTCGCTGCTGGTTACTTGCAATATTTTATTTGGTAATAAGTGATAGGAAACATTTATTAGCTCTCCGCATCCGGACCGCATCCGGACCGCATCCGGACCGGATGCGGCCAGCGTGCGGCGACATTCCGGACGGACTCCGGACGGAATTCCGTCGCAGTGGACGGCGGCCTTTAGATCTTGTAGATATGCGAAAAGACTACGGAATCCGTGCGAACATGTTGGCGAAAATGCGTCCTCTGCGGGCGAGTTACTGTAATATAAGTACCCGTTTTGTTCTGTGACTGTGTGTGCCATCGCTGTGCAAAATTTGGAGCTAAAAAATAGCTGATTGGAGAGAGTGCTAAATTCGACGTCTCTTACGTTTGGCTAAGCTAAAAAAAATGAAGCACCATAAACCTCAAGCACCATAAACCTCACTAGCAAGTGTTTTGCTGGTGACACGATAACCTGATGTGGTGACCATCCCCCACACTACATAACCATCCTTCGTTACCGCCGCTTCGTAGCCGTCCCCACACATCCATTTACAATGATCTCTAGCCGAGTAAAAATGCAAAATGCAAACACCAATAGTTTTCGCGTGTATTGAAATGTATCGCGTGTGTCATGCTCCAGAGCCACCGTAGGTAGGTCGGATATTCGGTAGGGGAGAGTGGGGTGGGTTGTATCAGTTTTTACTCCGAGACCCATAAACTCGTAACTATCCGTGATAAACTCATTATTTCCATACTGTCCCCTTCCTTGATTCTTCTGCTTTTTTGTGCAAAGTAACTTTTCCGCTACCTCTACCAGTTTTTCTTCTACGGTCTGCCGAATAGAACAATGTTTTTGATACAACTTGCCCCATGGCTTGGGTGAGTTGTATCACATGGTGGGGTAATTTGTATCACTATTTCACGTTTCAGGGAGTGTGCTTGCTACTGGTTTTGAACATAACAGCAACATTAAATGGGGTTAATACAATGTATAGGTATGCTCAAAGGCTTCACTTTATTAGACCAAACTTAGGTCAATGCAATCCGAACGAAACATCAACAGACTAGACGCAAAAGTGGCCCGTTAAGAGCAAAGAAGCCAACACATTGTGCCGAAATGGAACGAGCATTGACTAGCTACCTACAAACGCGAGCCAGGGCTTAGCTTTCGCGATCAAAAGCAACATACCCATACATACATACATACATACATGTTACAACATACCCCACCCGGCTCTGATACAACATGTACCTAGCCGCCATTTTGGAAAAACATCCTCGTGCTAAAAAAAACAGCGGACAGCTGGAGAAATCCGTTTTCACTCACGCAGCCTTAGAACCTACCCTCACCACCGCTACGGAGATCTTTCAAATTCGTGCACATCTAAATGCCCAAAACACACATTTTCTTGCAACTTATTTTTTTAGAATGACATTAAAAAAAACATAAAATCGGCTCTCACCTCGAGACGCGTCCACTCAGCCACAAGACAGAACAGGGAAAGATGGCGCCCGGAAAACCTCGTCGGCTGGTCGTGTCGCGAGCGCCATCCATTGGATAAGTTTGGCACAATTCGCCCTGATACAACTTGGACATGATACAACTCTCCCCGCTCTCCCCTACAAAAACCCGTGTCTGCATATACAAAGAGGGTGATATACTCTCGATGTAATTTCACGAGCGTTCCTTTATTATCAGACATAACGCAGGCGCATTTGGTGACCATACGCACGTCATACAGACCAAGGCTATAGAACTCCAGGTAAGGACACCAGCCGTTTGACCTTGAACGCCGCCGGCCGGCCGATGACGTCATTGGAGGCAAGCCGGCTCGGCGGACACACAGGGCGAATGCATAACGGAGGGGCGTTGGAACGTTGCGGGAGCCAGGGAGATATTTTAAAGTGGTTGCATACCACCATTGTTTGTTGATTGATCTACAGACTGCATCCTTTTAAACCTCGATGCATCCTAGGCCTGGATGGTGCGTACATTCGTGGAACGATCACCCCGTCCGACGTCCGTGGTCGAAGCTGTCATAGTATTTAAGACACTAAGACGGGTGCAATAACGGCGATCCGATCCCGTCTCTGGCGAATTTAGAGGGGTCGTAAGGACCCAGGCCGAATCTGACCGTCTATTTTTAGGGAAACGGGGTGGGTGAATTGACAACCGATGGCTTAAGAGATGATGAGAAGGGATCCCGTCATCGATTGTTGTTTGACAGACAACACATGTTGTACTGGGCGTATGACCATCAGAGGTAATGCCTGAACGTAGGCAAGCATAATTGGTCTGTCATATTGTTTAGGAATATAAAATGGTAATGGAGATCATTGAGGATATGATCTCTACATTACGGGAATTCACTAATTACTACGGCCCATAGGGGCACCGCCGGAGCTGTTGTTTTGCCATCGGTCCCAGGCAACTCTAGGGAGCTGCAGTACCCGGCGGCCAAAGCGGCCATCTCGTCGACTCGCAGGTCCTCTGGGATTCCGTGATGCTTTAGTGCTTCACCCACAGAAGCACGGGCATAGCAGTAGGATGTGGGGCTAGGTGTCTGTCCACCTCTTCATTCAAAGAACAACGTGTACAGCGCCTGGTCCCGCCGAAGCTCGGTATCGACCGTGACTTATTAGTCACAACTGGCGGATCCAGGAAGCGGTATTGGACACTGCGGGGGCTTACCCCAAAAAGGTTTCTCGGAATGAATGTAAAAAACTCGGATTTCGATTCCTTGCGCACTGCTGTGCGGTGTGATTAACCAACATTTCCTCAGAAAAGTTGTGAAGTTTTCATTTATTCTCGAAAATCGATTTCGGGCGCTGCCCTGGTTGTTGGGGAAGACATTTGCCCCAAATGCCTTCCCCTGGATCCGCCAGTGGCCGTTGCCCCACTCCGAGCTTGACTAAAGACGTCTTCAAACCTCACCAGAAACCGATGGTAAGGTGAATTTAAATCCAATAACTCATCTCTGTCTGCCCGCCTAAATATACTACACATGGTACAGCACCCGGCCCTGTCGGAGCTATGAGCCGATCGTGATATTTTCGGCTTTCCCCATCCCAAGCTCGATTAGAAACGTTCTCCTTCCCCACCCGATTGCTGATGTCAATTCAAATTCAATGCCTCATCTCTGCCTGCCCGACCATAACCCATTCATTGCACACCGTTCAGCGCCCGGCCCCGCCAGAAGTATCCTAGCGCGCTGAGCAGTTGCCTCCAGCCGCGTCATCGCGAGGCCCCGCGCGGCCCATAAATGAATACATTGCGCGAATAGCCGTGTCGCCCCCCTGATACAGACCGATAAACAAAAACTCCAAAAAGCTAGTTGTAACTAGCTACCAAACTAGCCAAACATCGATACCTAGAGTTGCATTCGGCAAGACGGAATCACTGGAATGAATTTATGCAAAGCAGCACAGTCCATAATGCTAGCAAAGCGGATCATTGATCCTTCACAGATAATTCAGATTATAAACCCATGCACAATATAGTTATCCCCACAAATGTATTACAATATGTAAAAAGCTATAAGTATTTTTATGCCGCTATTAAGCAATACGATGAACTACTAGACGAAAACAACAAATAGCACACCATTTTCTACTTCGAACCCATATTGTGAAGTTAAGGCAAGCGCGCTACACAGCTCCTACAAGCAGCTAAGCACACGATTTTTAACGTTTATTGGTTAACACGCATAGGTAATCCAATCGATACCTAGAGTTGCATTCGGCAAGACGGAATCACTGGAATGAATCTATGCAAATCAGCACAGTCCATCTCCTCCACGCCGCAACCCCCCTTCCCCCCTCCGGGCTGGACAGGCAACTTTATCTCATGCGGGCTGCTCCCTTGGAGCGGTTGGAGAACCCAACAAAAAAAAATCAATCCAGTAAAATGATTGAAGGCTGCTGTGAAACTGCCTGTTTTGTTTCCAAAAAAATGATAGGTGTAGGCTTTTTAGACACAAAATTTAGTCCGAATCGATGGAGTGGGGGACTGTGGGCCTAAAGAGGACTTGTCGCGTTTTTATCGCTGATCTACCAGCCGTTCTTGCCATTGTGCCCGGTTCACTAAGTGATGTACCTACATTTTAGCTAGCAGCCATAGTGATGCGGTCGGTAAGACATCATTAGGACCCGGGGCTGCTTCCCAGTCCCACCTGGCAAAATGTATGCATTGGGCCAGACATGTAGTTTCGCACCCACCAGTTTTCGGTATCAAATCGGAAGAAATAGCGAGATATGTTTGCAAGATGTCGTTATCGTTTAGAACGTTAAACATCTTCCATTTCTATCGACAAATATGTATACTAGGAAAATGGGAAGGACAAAAGTGGTTCCATACCACATTCGCCATCTCAACAGGGTCGGCTAATTTGTGTTTGAACGTGGTGACAAAACCACGTTCCTAAATTTAACCCGCGCGGGGCTGGGGTCTCCAGCCGAACGCGCGGGGCTGGGGGGGGGGGTAAATTTTACCCCCCCCTGTTATCTCCCGAACTAATGGTCCGATTTGGAAAATTCAAACGCCAATCGAAAGCTCTCATCACGAACTACTAAAAACATGTACATAATTTAAAGTTTGAGGTCAAGGTCAAGGTCAGGTCAAGGGTACAAATTGCAAGTTTCTACAGTATCGGCCTTGCACCGTAGTTGCC